GGAGAAATCGAAGCTTTCCTCTACAACCCGCTGGGAGAGCACACCTCTGCTGTGTTTGGAGGCGTCACACCAGACTCTGAGGATGAGGAACAGTAGATCCACCACTGCTGCTTGGACAAAGCTTCAGGGTTAATATCATCTACCAGAAATGAAGACGGGAACTTGTTTTTGTCCCTTGCATGAGGGAAGTCAGCATAAATTTATAAAAGTTATTATTCAAAGGGGATTTTTGGCGTCAGAAAAAGTGGGTGGTAATTTTTCTATGATTGCAGAGATTCAAGTGAAAGTGTATCTATAAAGTATTTAACCTGGGTAAATACTGTGGTATTATAGTCATGCAATACATCTTGATTATATTGCATTTACATAAACTGCTGATGAAACAATTTCCAGTCTTAGTGCAGACAAATGTAAAATATTAAACTGTATGAAATGAAGTTTTTTTCCTGCTAAAATAGAAAAAAAAAGTTTAGTAGTTGTGCCATATCTCATTTTTTTTCTTTCTGTGAAAAAGATGGCGGCGTCCATCTTTAGTTACTGGAGAAGCGTCTGGATTTCTGTATGCAAAGCAACTGAATTACTTATTTTTAAGAAGATTGCCTTGTTGGATGTCGAGGGCTCCATTTTATTGTATTCATAAAAGAATAAAAGTTAATTGTGAGAAAATCCTCTTTGGACATTTGGTGCTTTTTGACACGCTTGTATTTGATAGTGGACAGATAATCCTGACCAATTAAATTATCCAAAGATAAAAAGGCAACTTATGAAGCCAATTTCACACTGTGTCTTTAGGCACTTTGTTACTAGCAGCCTGTCACATAAACAGTAATTTGTTCCCATTTTTTCAGATCAACCACAAAAGATGCCAAAGATAACTGACAAGCACGAAATTGTAATTTTGCACCAACAAGGATTTCCCAGAGTTTTTAGCTGAAAACATGGTGTGCATGCAGTCTGTCCTTAAAATTCCAAACTAAAAAAAGTGGAGGGGAAAAACTAAATAAAACAAAACCCTGACAGCAGATGCCATGTTTTAAGGGGAAAAGACAATCCAGCAAAGACTTGGCAGAAGACCTGAGAGCTCTGGACCTTCAGCCGGTCCATCTACTGCTCACTGAAGCCTCGACACAAACGTCTTGTAGATGAGCAGCTGTGAAGAGGCTATTCTTAAGGAAAGTGGGGGAAAAGTCAGAGATATTCCAAATTACACAAGAACTGGACTGAAAAATCTGTGGCAAAAGATCTGATGGAGTGAAGAATCCAAATTTTAAATATTTGGTTTAATCTTTGTCAGTATTTACAGACGAGGCACAACAGACGTACGACAGCAAGCGTCTACAGCCATCTGTAAACACAATGGAGCCTCTGTCGTGGTTTCAGCCTGTGGTCTTGGAGATTTTGTCAAAAATTGATGGAATTACAAACACAGAAAAGTACCACGTTTTGATCCATCTGGAAAGTATCAGGGTTTGACCTCCTCACAGTCTGGACGTATGAGATCATCTTGACAGGATGGAACAACTTGCAGAGGTCTGAATGTCCGGCCACAAGCCTGAAGAATTCATTCTGAAGACTACTTAAAGAAAGCGCACCTACGACAGTTCAGGATGTGTTGAGGAATAAAGACGGTCACAGCAAACATTGACTTTCAAGCTTGTTAGAATTGTTCCAACTCTGTTTTTGTCTTACAGAACGCAAAGGTTTTGCACAATAACATGACAGACATTCACCAGCCACTTTATCAGGTGCACACATTCAACTGCTTGTTAAGGCTGCTGATGCTGCTGTAAGTGTGAGGGATTGCATCTGTTTGATCGCCACAGCCTGAGTATTGCTGCTCACCACATTGTACCCATCTTCTAATGGTTCCTTCAGTCACACCACAAAGCTTAAATCATAAATTCGTCACCAAAACACTGATTAAATGATTATTATTAATATCATCTAGAAGAACTTTTAATCAAATGCTAAATTTAAATACAGATGATTTAAAAAACAAAAAAACAAACAAACAAAGGACCCACTGAACTCAACCTGGCTTTATTGTAAAAACAAAAACAGCCAAATAAAGCTAACAGCACATTTAAAAAACTAAACAGATATTGCTTTACATATCCAGCTACATCCCCTAAAGACAAAATCAGCAGCTTTAAATGGACAGATGAAGAAGAAGCTGACAGACAGATCAGGCACTTGGACAGAGGAGACTTACAGCGTGTACAAATATAGCAGAGAAAGTCACAGCTAAACACATGGTGACACAGTCAAGTACTCTGGAAGACAGTCGGCTGAATTTCACATCACAACGAGGAGGAAAAATTATAATTTAAAACTCTCTAAAATAACAAGTCTATTTGCTACCGTACAGCATTTTTCAGGAGTGCAGCATCTAACAGTCTCTCTCGTCTGCAGCGTGTCGGCGTTCAGCAGTCCTTCTATTTGTGCGTGCTGCTGCTTGCTCAAATCTTTTTTTGTGCTGTCAAAGTCTTTACAAATAAAACCAACAAACATTAAAACCCACTCATGATTATTTTCTAAAAAGCCGAGTCACACACAGATGTTACAACTAAGCTCAGTGCAAACTCTGGTGTCCAAGCGACGTGGCCCCATGAAAAATTACAGATCAGTTCGCCAAGTACACGACAATAAGAAATAACACATCCTTACAAGGTTGGCTATTCCAGTTTTGGCTACTCACATGTAACAGTTAAAGGTTTTAGATTTAACGAGCTAATATCAACTGCTGTTGTGACATTCACCTTAATTCATTTGTTGATGAGTAACAGTAACTACCAAAGTCTTAAACACCAAATACAAACCTGTAGCTTGTGACTACGACACCTGAAACATGTCAAATTATGTGCCTGTTTGTTAATGCTGGGCTGATTCAAATGAAAGTACGAGCATCTGAGTGAAGTTTAGTCTGTATTAATGCTGTGAATCATGTTAATATTTAAAATCTCTTTTTTCCCCCTCCAACAATTAAAATTTTCTTCGGACTTGATATCGGCAAACGTCGCCGTTAGTATTGCTGCATTCAAACCACCAACTGGTTTTCTGAGACAGTAACATCCGTGAAAGGCGCCAAAAAAAACAGGAAGAGAGAGGCGTCTGTGTCCCCGAGTGACGAAGCAGGAGTGCATTCATTGGATGAAAGGAGTGCGGTGGGTGCGGGGGGAGGGGATGGGTCGCTGTTGGTTGTCCCAAACTGAAATCAGCGGATTAAATGTTGATACAACCGGCATGTGCAAAGTAGCTGTTTAAACAACCAGTGGAGCCCATTCACTTGGTGTGCGTCCGTACTGCAGGAAACACAAGGAAGCAAAAGAGGAGAGGGAAACAAATAAATACAGAGGAAGGAAATGTGGGCGTGAAATAAAAAATGAATTCACATATAGAAAGTCACAGGATAAGCTAGGCCTGCAACAAGTGCTGTTATTCCAATAGCAGACTGTCATAAAACAAGTCATAAATAAATACTCTTTCAATATCATGTTTTACTGATTATTGATCTGAGAACGAAGAATATCTGTCGGACTGATCGGCATCAAGGTCGGATGTGTTAAAGAAAAACAAAACATGCATGGGTGTGTTTTGCGTCTTTTCCCTCACATAAACTAAACGGGCACAGCTCTGAGGCCTAAAGTGTGTAGCCAGTGCAGAAGAGCTTTAAGCCAGAGTTCTTTTTAATGGCCAGCAGGGGGCGACTTCTCTGGCTGCAAAGAGTTGATGTTTATGGGAATTTGATCTCAGTGACTTCATAGGCTCGGGTTCTAGTTAAATATTTAATAGAACCTGAAATCTTTCGTAAACATTGGTCCTTCTACGACTAAAAGGAGAGTTATCTATAATATGCTCACTGCTCACATGCCACAGTGGCTACGTCCATCTTCTATTCTGTGGGTGAGAGAGTATGCATAGACAATAGCTTCTTGTGACTCAGCATGCACACGTTTGGAGTTTTGGTTCTGTTTACATACACTAAATTTAATCTGAAGCCTAATAATTCTGCACATCTGTGCGCATGCCTTGCTGAAAGAGAACAGTGTGCAGAAGAGGTCTAATGAAAATACTACACATTCGTGTGGATACACTTTAGGAATCTGGACCCTGTATTTTTCAGTTCCCTCTTGCTGCCACTTGGAAGCAGCAGCATTCAAGTTCCCTTGATCACTTTAAAGATGCTCCAAGTGCCTAATACTTAGATTTGGGATATAAATGTGGTGACGCTCTTACCTGAATATCAGTAAGCTCTTTGTAGAACCTTTTGGCCAGATCTGGACCGTTCTGCATGGTGGGGATCTGGTACATCTGAGAGAAAACAGAAGGAAATATTGACGTTATTGGTGATTTCCATGGATTCCTCACACCGTCAAACATGAATATTTAAAAATGAACACTTTCCACATGATTATTTGTCCACAAATGTTGCCTGATGACTCAGCAAAGCAGAAAAATTAAATATTCATGTTTGATAATGGGCCACAGGAAACCCCGCAACGTCACTATTACTCGTGAAATAAGCAGCATCAGAACCAGGAGATGAACTCCCACCTTTCCTTTGTAGAGGAGGCTGCCGACGGGGCAGACGACGCAGGCCGTCCCTGCACCAAACACCTCCAGGACTCGCCCGGCATCCAGAGCTCCAAGCAGCTCCTTCATGCCCATAGTCCGCTCCGTGACTTTAAACTCTCCCTGACAGAAACACACAAAGAAAGAAATTTTTTTTTTTTTTTTTTTATTGCTGCACTACATTCAAATGTAGAAGTTGGAAATCCCAATCGTAATCTTTCAGCTGGAATGCCTCATTAAATTCCCACCTGGCAACCCGGAGAAGCCCGACCAACCAAAATAATTTGTTCAAGACAATTTCTGAAACTAGGAAACGCTCGTCTGCAAAAAATGACACCACTGAACATCATGCTGGGAAATGCTAGCAAGCACTGGGATGCTACAAACTAACTAAGACTCAGACTAAAAATGAGACTCCTTTTGTTCTATTTCTGCTTGTCCTGCGTCTGTGCTGGACTTTCAGTGTGGGCGGGGCTCCGGCAGCTGTCTTGTTGACCTAACAGCGGTCTCTTACCCAGGATCTTCCCAGGTCCAGCAGCGACTGTCTGGTCACTCCTGGGAGAATAATGCCATCCAGCGGCGGGGTCACCAGCTCTTTCTCTGCATCCACAGAGGAAAAATTCACAAGAGCAGGTTTAAACTGTGTGAACAATAAAAAGATGACTGGGGGAAAAAACAACCAAATATGAACAAAAAGAATCTGACCTCCTTTCTCATTGGTCCAGTAGATAAAGAGGTTCATGGTGCCGACCTCGGTGATCTCCTCATCTTGTCCATGCAGCCAGAGGACCTGCTGACAGCCTCGCTTCACTGCCTCGTTCTGCACCGCTATTGTGGGGCCGTAGTTACTGGAAAGAAGTTAAATAAGACAGACAGCCTGATTTATTACATATGAACAGAGCGGCTTGGACTGAAAAACATAATACAAAGACACATTTCTTGTTTGCATTTGTTTTGGTGTAATGCATGTTTTGCACACCAGGTGGCAGTCAGTGGTAGTGGGGCCATACATCTATGAATGGGGCTATTCTGAGGGTGACTCGTGCAGGTGTGTTGCATGGCAGGAGGCACGCAGGTAAGAAGCAAGATACAACATGCAAATAATAAATGAAAACTGCTGATGTCGACAAGACGGGTCAGACATCAGTGCCAACATGCAGCACCGGTGATTTACAAATAAAACTCTACAACATCCTCCACAGAGACTGAAATGAACACAAGAGTATTAGCACATGTTCTCTCCTCGTTTTTCATTTAAATAACATATTTAGTCATCAATTACAAGCCTTACACCGCCAAGATCACAACCTGTAACCAAAGTAAAGTCACACAATCCAACAATAATTAATTTCAAGAAGTGAGGAAGACACGGTGACATGTCAGGTTTTCAGTCCAAAGAATGATGACAGAGCAACCGTTGTTGTGCACAGGCACCAGCACCCAAAGAAAAGGTGTTTGTGCTGACGAGGAAGCATCCTGTTAATGTCACGACTGTTAGAAGGAACATCGTGAGAACCACAGAACCGCAATCATTTCTGGATTGACAACAATAAACAATGAACAATGGTGTTAAGAACCCAGCCTTGAGTTGTGCTCGGCTGCCAGCTCTTTCTGAGCGTCACTAAGTTCAAGCTGCGTTAGCTTCGAGTGAAGGATACAGACACCCTGACGTACAGCCCTCTGTGATATTCTCCTTTAATGTCAGAAATGCAAACCGGCTCGACTGACGTAGCAGAGCTGTAGCTCTGTGCTTTGAAATATGTCTCCATGAGTTCAACACAGTGTATGGTGTGCAGTGCAGCGAGGAGTCCCTCAGACATCTACACTGGAGAAACTAAACAGCCACTCCATGAACGCATGGCACAACATAGAAGAGCCACCTCGATGGGACAAGACTAAGATGTACATATGCATCTAAAGGTCAAAGGTCACTCTTTCGAGGATGCAAACGTTCACATTTTGGACCAAGAACACAGATGGTTTGAAAGAAGAGTGAAAGAAGCCATCTATGCCCACTGCGAACGACCTTCTTCGAACACACATGAGAGACCTTGCCGTTGTGAGGCAAGGTCTCACAACCTGTAACCTCAGCTGATAATGACCCACAGCTTTTTCACACCTCATGTGGTGATGCAAACAATCAATAGTGGGTCAACAACCCTTTTAAGTGAAAACTCCCTCAAGGGCTTAAATACCTGAATTCTTCACCTTTCGTCTTAGAACTGAGGAAACGTCTCGAACGAGAGGTGAAACGCCTTCAAGCAGCAGTGCAGACACGTTGTGATGAAAGCACGAATGAGACATTCACAAATCTTCAAAGATAAAATGGATTTGATTCTGGATAAAAGCCTCAAATGATAAAAACAAATAGCTTTAATAAAGGATTTTATCTGCTCGTCTAGTATAAAAAAAAAAAAATCACAGTCCAGTTCCAACTACACTGCTCGACTGATGTGCTCTGGCTTTAGTGATCATATCTAAAACGTCAGCATCAATCAGGCTCTACTTTCTGTACCAGTAAATGCACAATAACATTTAAACAATCAGCTAAACAAGACTGCAAAGCTTTTAATCTACACAGACTAGAAACCTCCAGCTATGCTGAAAATTCCCTTCAGACCATGCATGAAGTGAGTCCTGGGATCTAAAAGGAAACCTGGATCTGGATTAGTTTCTGATATTTTCTTCAGAGCACTGAGATGATATTTCACAGTGTTTCTTATTTCAGTTTGATATGAATATGTGAAGATAGAAGTTACATTTTGCCATATCTTGTACTAAAAAGTAACCAATAAAATAAACTCCTTAGCAGAGGTAACAAACAACGTAAGCCCACCGAATTACTCTCAGCTCCACTGGAGTCATGTGACTACTGCTGCTAAATCAGGCCCGACAGCTGAAGTGTTTACTCCACTTTGATGGAGGAGAGCAGATTTGTTGGCTTAGCGAATCGAGTGGGTGTTCAGCGGTGTTACGTAATCACGCCGGAGCCGAGCAGGTGCTGATGTAGGACAGCAGGGTCATGTGGAAGCAGGGCCGTGATTACAGGCTGCATGGAATCAAGGGAGATTATAGGAACGCCGATTTGTCTCCTCAGTCTCGTGATTATTTTTGACCTAACTGCAGATGTTTTCAAAAGCACAGGTGATGGTCCAGACCATTAATGTTCCAGCTGAAGCCATTGTACGGTTAATGCTGAATATTTTAAGGCTGATTTTAATGCAAATACACCTCCTAAAATATCACACAAGCTCTTTCCTTTTTGACACTCAGGCCGGCTTTCTCATCTCCACCAGGAAAGTGAATAATCTGCACAGCTGGGCTCCATCCAGATCCACTGCTGAATGAAAACACAGCTGTGGTGTGGAGCACTGCAGAAAGTCCACCTGAACATTACAGAGCCGTGAAGCTGGTAAACTGCCTCAGATTTTTTAAAATACTTTTTAAAAATGTATTTTATACTGTTTTTTTTAATACTTCTTTCTGCTTGTTTGGGTTCCATATCGTCAGTAAATTAGTTTCAACTTTGTTTACCGGTTTCTCTCAGAAGTCCTTCAAACTCAATTGTGTTGAATTGTTCTTTTTATGCACAAAATCGACTCATAACCACAGCAAGACAGACACCAAATGCACACTTAAGGGTAAAAACTTACCCTCCCATCTTGTAGGCCCCAACACCTCCTTTCCAAGCTCTCACAAACGCAGGGTCTGCCAGCAGGGACACTGGGTTGAAGGACCCCGTTGAAAAGTACGGCCCGACTGGGCCGATGATGACGAAGATCATAGCTTTTCCTGGACGAGACACGCCAAGAGACGGCTGGATGTGAGGTAAGAAAAGACAAGAGGAGACTGTTAATGAGGAGAAGGACATTTCAAGCACATCCTGAACCTGCACAGGCCTTTTAGTGAAACTAAAGCTCACCTCGGTTCCAATGTAAGTGGGTCTGATATAGAGGCTGGCATCCTGGGAGTAGGGGACCCACTCCTTGTCGATCTCCACCAGCTTCTTGATGCACTCCAGCAGTTCTCCTTTATCAAACAGCTGCACAGGGAAAAGACATTCAACAGTAAGCTTTCACCATTAATCTGGCTAATATAATATCATCCAAATGACTCTGGCTGTGGTGGAGAGGAGGTTGCTTACAAACTCTTATCCGTCTACTCCCGCGCTCTCTGCACTACTTACTTTCTCCGGCAGACAGTTTCGTCTTGGCAGCCACGAGGACAGATACTGATCGCTGTCATTACCTCACGCCCTCACTTTATAAGCCATCTTATCTGTATAGTAGAGAATTACCTGTTCTCTCATATCATCATTCAGTGTATTTTCACCCTGCACTCTATCACACTGAGCTTCTTTAATGCTGACATTTGCTGGTGCTGGAATGACCAAATTTAAATGTAGATTAGATTAAATGTAATGATCCTTTATTATTCATCCTTTATGTAGTCAACATTTTACAAAGCATGTGACTGCATTTAATTTAGATTTTTATTTACTGAGAGTCTTTCTTCTTTTGCAAATTTTCTTATATTTTATTGCTGTATTCTACTTTATTATAAGCTGTACTTAATTTTTTGGCTGCAGTAACACAAGAATATCCTATCTTTGGAGAAATATACATGAGGTAAAATCTTTTCAACACAAAAACACAAAAATTAAACGAGTGTCACAAATTAACATTATAATTCTCTAGGTTAATTTATTCATGACGTGTCAGTGATGGATTCTAGAGGGCATAAACATTTATTGTAAAAGAATAAAGCATACATAGGAAAACAGCTGAGCCCACATGTTCAGTATCTACGATCCTCCCTGTTTGTCTTTACTTCTAACAGCAGCCAGGCTCTCCATTGGAGGCAGAACAGAAAGACAAACAGAAGTCTTGTTCTCCAGAAGGCTTTAGATAGCGTGACATAGGGCTGGGCGATATGGCCTAAAATTCATATCGTGATATAATTTGAAGCATGTGCGATAACGATATATATCGCGATATATATTCTTTTCTTCTGTATAACGTATTTTCCACACTATAAGGCGCACTTAAAATCCTTTAATTTTCTCAAAAATTGAGAGTGTGCCTTATGTATGAATTCTGGTTGTGCTTACTGACCTCGAACCGATTTTGGCGTGCAGAAATCTGTTAAAAAATGTTTTGATGGATTGTCAGAGCATTACGGCTGCGTAGTGAGGAGCTTCACGGAGTAATCTGGGTCCAAAACTCCGTCCACTTCAGGTCCCAAACGAACACTAAGAGTTAAAAACGGTCTAAATTCTTTCATCTTTAATTAAATCATCAGCGTTGCTGCTTTATCGGGTGTAACGATTAAGTTTTACATCCATGCATCCATGAAAACAGAATTTATTAAATTTAACGGAGTTAGAAGTTAACAGGAAGTTAGCTCGCTAGTTTACACCTAAACATTTCATACTATGTTCTGACTGAGAGATTTTTGAAACCAATTCAAACGTACAGCTCTGTTATCACTTCCAACATAAATGAAGACAGAAAACTAAACAGCAGTGGCGTTTGCAGGGTTACTGAAGTTGGACTACCTGGTATATAATGTTGTGTTACGTGATTGCTAGCGACACAGTTATGTTAGCATAACATTAGCACAGTGAAGCTGGAGGATGAACGCCAACTTTTTTCCACTCGATAAAAGTTAAGGTGAGGGATTCTGGTGGTCAGGGACAAATGTAATCGTATCGGAGGATGCTATACACGGGCCAAACTTCGTCAGGAGAACAACTAAGATTATTCATCCACAATACGAGGTTAGTTATTAATATACTGCAACAACATGGGAATAGAGCAGCTGCGAGAGAATTCAACATTAATGAATCAATGTTACGGAAGTGGAGGAAGCGCAGTTTTTGGCTTTCCCCATATTTCAAAAGTGCTTCATCTCTTTGCAGCCGCTGCGACGCTTTCGACCAAAACAGGCGCAGCTTGATGACATCATCAGCATGCACTATCGCGATAGAGCGATATAGTCAAACTCTCTATCGTTGGCCAAATTTATATAGTTTCTATCGTATATCGTTTATATCGCCCACCTCTAGTGTGACACTTTCAAGACTCTTCCAAATACATATATATTGCATACTCACAGTATCTTAGTTATACTCAAAGTTTGTTTCCCTGTGAAACAGTTTCACAATAATGAAGTGTGAACTCTGGTACCAGGACATCAGGAGGGTGTGTAAAAAACTCGTTTGTGAAACTGTAAAGATAACCTATTCCTGTGTGGTGGTGGAAAGCTTTAATTCGTTTCCAGCATAGACGCAAATCCCCTTTGGCGTTGCGTCAGGCGGGTTAAAACCCTGCCAAATCAAACATGCACATCTCCCGAGTGTAGTGAGTCTAAGGCAAGGGAGCAGCCAAATGTAGTTTTCTCTACCAAGTATACTCAAGTTTGAGCTTTTTAGATCCTTGCTAAAGAATTAGCATCGACAGCACATTTAGACCAACAGCAGCACTGAGATAAAGCAACACAGGGTGAGGTTAAAGCTCATAAAAGGCGATGAGACCCAAGTTTGAGACCCAGTTTGAATCATGGAGTTTTTCCACTCCAAAGAATGAATGACCAGCATTCTTCCTGCAAGAGGAATTTTTGGCAGCTCCCTAATGAGGTTTAATCCAACCCCTCCCACAAATCTGGTTGCAGTGTTGTAATATGTATTTTACCTGTTTCACTTCCTCAAGTGTAACTGACATTTTGGGAATGAAGAGAAAATGCTCATCAACCTGCTCTTTTATCTCCTATCTATTTTATCTTTTATCTTGGGAAGAAAAGTGGCTTTGCTTTGAGAAAACGTGACACTTGACTTGCTGCCAGATGAAGGATTAAAAAAGCCTGGATCAACTTTTCTACCAGACCACGCTGTGTGTTTTTGCCAGAGCCGTCCGTGTGCTCAGCAGCCTCACTGCGCTGACTGGCTTCAAAGAATGAGCAGCGCTTTGTCATGCTATGCCACAGTCTCTCTGAATAAGGCCTCAGTGTCTCATAATGGTCTAAAATCGCTTTTCTGAGGCGTTTCCACTCTGATTAAAGTGATACGTGATACTGTGTTACGGACAAACAAAATACTGATATCAATATATATTGCAAAGAGCAGCCTCCGGGGATAAAAAAAATAGAACCACCAAGAAAACAACCAGACACCTTAAATACCCACATTTACAGCAAAGGTTAGCATGTTCATAACCTATTGATCTGGAAAGAGTATCCTGAAAATCAATGGATGGTATCCATCTTTTATATACAGTCTATGATATATTAGGGTCAAGGTTTCTGATGGTGTGCAAACTCACAGGAAGGCTGCTCCTGTCTGCACTGCGATGCATCCTCTCCATGTTCAGCATGGGTCTGAACAGGCGGATGTGGTTGTCGACGCCACGGTACGCCTTCATGCCTTCAAACAGCTGGAGAAGGTAGAAACAAATAACTTGTTAGTTACTATGTAGGTATAGATGAATGTGGCAGTGTTTCCCTTTTACTGAATGGTTATGGCAACTTTAAGCCCATTCTGGCACTGATATTCATCAAATTATCAGGTGAGAAGACAATACCTAACCATTTCATTGGCCAACATGTGTCAGCCATTGGCTGTTATTACAAGTTCCTGGTCTACTGGCTCACTTATATGTTACACTACAGCAGAGGGTGCTGCACCCAGTGAAAATATCATGCATGTTTATGTACTGCACGTTGGCAGAGTGCTCTTTACCTCTATGGAGTAGTGCAGGGCAGAGCTAGCTGGATGCAGCGACAGATTCTGGAAAGGTTTGATCTGAGGAGATTCCCAGCCGCCCTTCTCCGACCAGTTGATAGTCAACATGTGGTCAGAGAATTGTTTGCCGAAGAGCAGCGTGGAGGGCTCGGGCTTCGGCTTGCATTCTGTGTTGCGTTCAATGGTGAGACTTGCTGCCTGAGATGGAGACGGAAAGGCGAGCCAGACACGGGTGGAGAAAAAAAGAAGGAAGGAGACGGACAAGAGCAGAGCAAGCGACAACAACAGTGATTGTGTTTTTTGAAATTGCTGTTATTGACACAGCATGCGCAAAAGGACAATTGGTGGTGGTTAAACATAGTCAGGTAAGGGTTAACAGATCACTTGGACACAATTAAACAGGTTAAATTAAACTGAATTAAATAATTACAACAGGCACAGAGTGAGGGGGACACAGAAATGGAAAGAAACTGTAAGTAAAAAGCAACTCGACCAAGCTAAAGAGACAAATCCCTCTAATGAACGTTACTTTCTTCTTTCTGTTACCATCATGTTCTCCATACCAAACCAGCCATTCACAGGCTCGCCAGACTGTAATTCAAGGTCTCACCTGGTGAAAAAAGAAAATGTTAACGTTTTCCTCATTACCTTAAAGGAGCTGGCGAACCGCAGCGAGCCGAAGGAAAAGGGGAAAGTCTGAAGTCGTCGTCCATGGAGTGCCTGCAAGGAATGCATGATGAAACTCTTTGCGAGATGATGTGGCAGCTTTCTTTAAATACCCATCAAAAAGTTTCAAAATGTTAACAGATAACAGTTTAAGCTCTGATTTCCAGGTGACAATCATTGATCCACGTTTGGGAACACACGGGAAGACTATGTGCAATATTGTTTTTTTTTCTGAGGGGTGTGTGTGACTCAGCACCAATCATATTGTCTGCACATTCCAGAAGGAGACAGTCGTAAGAGCTGTAAACAGAATCAGATCACATGTGCAGGGTGCTCTCTGCAGAATGATATTATGTGGGCAACAAAGGGCTTCACAATAAGAAGAAAGCAACAGCCAACCATAAAAGCTTATTTCATAAAAACATATCATTAGTTTAGGTACATAAATTATCAGTGCCACTCCTTAACTGGCTTTGTAGATCTTGGCATTCATACTTGGAGTTCAGGCAAGGTAACATGAGAAATCTAAAGGTAATTCAGCCCTGGGGTAAGACAGGATGGGATATTATACTTTTACTTATTTAACCCGTATTAAGATCAACTGTCCTGGCAGTTTAATACTTATGGAAGCAATCTTCTAATTAATCTCGAAATTTCACATTTTAGTTTACCTTTCTTAATATGGTGCTGGGTTTCCCATATTTTAACTCATTTTAATTTTGCCAACTGAACAGCACGGAGTCTTTCATATATAGTCATCACACAAATGCCCCTCTGTGGTATGAAGCAGCAATTTGGAGCCCTGAGTAATTGAACCACTGGGAGCACATCTACAGCTTCCATAGACTAAATGGAAATAATTAGCCTGACAAGTTCAGGGAAGAAAGAAAACAGAAATTACAATTTGACTGCTAAATCATGACTAGGAAAAAGTTGACCAGTTAGTAAATGATTGCGTTTAAAGTTAACAAGTGTGTTGAAATAAATGATTAAATATCAGTTAAATATTGGGTAAATAATTAATATACACAACTAGATTCTTTCTAACAATAAAAACAATGTTAAACAGTAGAAACATTTGGAAAAATAGTTAAATATTTAAAAAAGCAGAATGGATACAGGGCTAAAACATCCAGGTTGTGCTTCTAAATGGTTTTAACTTTACCAAACTAATAAGTACTGGGCTGTTAATTGTATGCATACAATTGAAACAACATTTAAAGAAGTTTAAAATCTAATTCCAATATTTGGTAGATGACAGCTGGCATTGATAAAGGGCCACAGGGCAGCTCACTTGACAGGCCAGTTCTGGCATGTTTGAAGGTCAAAGAGCTAAACCACTGACATTACAGACAGTCAATATAATTATCACCTCGTGTCCATAATTTCTGCACAATGGAGCCCAGGGAAGCATTTTGGCGTAAAGATGATGCAAGATTTTGTCTTTATTGCACAATGAGAGCTTAGCTATTTTTTTTCCCCGAGTTGATTTTTGCCACACACAAACCTGATGAATGAAATATATCCCTATTTCCCAAAGCAACATTTAGTTTCTTGCATTCAATTGTGGCATTTAATACAGCAGGAAAGTAACTTATTCTATTCATTCTACATGTAAAACACAAGAGTAATAACGTGGTAGCAATGTACACAGACACTTTGCATTTTCTGTAAATGTGCATCAACTAAAAGCCCTTTAATATTTAAGTCGACGCACAAGACAGACTGACCAAAAACAAGACGTCACGCATGAAAACCTCAAAGTTCCTAAGCAGAAACAAATGATCCCAAAAAACATAAAAAAAATTTCGTCTCTAAGTGAGCCGAATTTGTTAACCGCCTTTAAGGTTAACAATTGCATCTTCTTAGTGTTTTTGGAGTGTTTTTATTTTGACCATAAGCAGAAGACATAAAATCTCCACATTTCTGCATTAAGTTTGGTCTTTTTCATGCTGTACAATTTTGCCACGCTCCGCGCTCGCGCCGAATTCTCCAGTAGCAGTGGGCCAGGATGTTTTACTGGCCTCTTATCTTCTTTAATGATTACCGGCCACCTTACCGCCCATTCAGGTTAATCATTTACCCACAACATCACAGCAACCTGGTAATAAACAGCACACAGACACTCAATCGACTCACCGTCCGGAGGGCTGCCATCTCCGCTACGCCAGTGACGATAAACAACTTTGTTAGTCCGTGTGGAAACAAACGCTCCAAGTCAGCTTGCGTTCCGCTTTGAAATACGAGACCTTCTTGCTCTCCCTGAACCCAGAAGCGTCAGGATACGAGCAGCGTGTGCCGACTTTGAAATATTCAGGATCTTCTATTCAACTTTTCTACCAGTTTAATAATTCAGAAAGAATTACACGTCTCAGAATAACGACACAACGATGTTAGTGTATTAAAAAAAACCCAAATCAATGTAATAATTAGCTCTGCAGTTGTAGTGACCGGTTTTATTGGCCAGCAGTCTCATTCAGGAAGTCCTTGGAAGCATGAGGGAAGAGAAAAAAACCAAAAAAACAAACAAACCTCTGATTGGGGTAGGCGAAAGCAGGTTATTATAGGTCAGAGAGGCTAGTGCTGATTGGCTAATCATAGGGGAGTGGTTCAGGTCCAGTTTCAAGGTTAGGATGCCAAAATTCTAAGCTTTAAATTTTCAACTTCAAGCACCAAACTACTTGAAATCAATTAATATAATTGCTTTCCTTATATCCAAAATTATTTAGTATTCGTTTTAGTCATGTAACCAGCACATTTGCACATATCTCCACCACAAGGACACTCAGGATTGTTAGGACTGGATCTGACTCTTGAAGCCGTAGTTCAGTTCAGCTCCTCCACTGAGCAGCAGGTCAATCCCGGTGCAGAAAGTGGCCTCGGCAGCGAGATATAAAGCAGCCAGTCCACACTCAGCCTCAGTCCCCATTCGACCCATGAGCTGTTGGAGAAGAAAGTGTGTCACTTCTCAGTCCTAGACTGCATATTTCTGGGTGCACTGGGTAAATTCCTTTTGATTTTGTGCTTCTACAGGCCTGCAGCTGTTCCAACTGTTGCTTCCTAGCTCACAAGTATTTGCCAAGAAGGAGAAGCTTTTCAAAAAACTCCTGTACGACTTCCCATGCAACCCCCCCCCCCCCCCCCCCCCCCCCCCCCCCCCCCTAAAGAAAAAACAAAAAACTGGAGATTTCATAATTTCAGCTTTCTCAACTCATGAACAGGGAAAACTACAAACCTCCTAATGCGACAGAGGCTTAACAGAGGGTCTCCTATCCTCCATTATTTAGATAACAGGCGTAATAAAAGTGTGAAAATGACAGATCCTAATTTAACAAAACATGTAGACAACAACAACACTTAAAGAACTGAAGCAAACTTGTCTTTCACTCTTTTTCTATAAATGCGAAACTAAAAGGAGGTGGCTGTCTAGTTACTCCTCTTGTATTGCGTCAGCTTCAAACAGGCTTTCTTGCCTGAATCAAAGGAAACCTCTAATGGAAAAAATGCAGCCTGTTACACAAACTCGTTCAGCTGCGATCCAAGACTGAAGGCGTCGATGCTGACTGCCTGACAGAGAGATTCCAGTGTGTGGCAGTTTAGTTTTGCTTTTTCCAGTATATCCAGTGTTCCTCTTATGGGCATGTCCAAACCATCTCAGCCTTGCCTCTCAGACTTTGACTTGTCCCTCTGATGTATTCATTTCTAATAATGTCCATCCTGGTAATTCCCGGTGAAAAATCTTAGCAACTTCCACTCTCTGTCCTGTTGCACTTTCGGCTTTCAAGCTCAATCTTTCTGCCTAGCGAACCGATAAAAGTTTCCTTCCTTAGTGTCCTGCCTCACATACAACTCACTAAAAGCCTTTTCCTCCTTTGCCACCTGTGTTTGCTGTACACCTAGCCTCCAAGTACTCCTATCAGCTGTCTGCATCTTCTTGACTATCCCGCTTTTTCTCTGCCAAACTCTTTGAACACTTTCCAATACTTTCTCATTCCTCTCCCAAGTGTCGTTGTTTTCATTCCCTCATCACTTCAGCTTTCCCCATCATCTGGTAACTCCTCCCTACCAGCCAGAGCTGTCGACATTCCTCTCTGAATTCTTTACATTTTTCCTTTTTCAACTTCCACCATTTGATCCTCGTCTCTATCTCATGCTGCCTAGCTACAATCTGCCATGACACCACCTTGCAGACTCTCATCTCTGTCAGACACTTGCTCTGAAAAATATCCGCCTTCCTTCTCTCCTTTATATCAGCTAGCTCCTCACATTAAGCCCCTATCTCTGACCTCCACACTCCTGCCTTTCCCTCGCTCACGCTGCCTCCTAACACACCTTCCTCCTCTCCTCTTCCATTGTTTTCAGGCAACAGTAGCACAGTTTCCACCAGCAGCCTGCTGACCAACAGCACCAGAGGCGTTCGCTGCCCTGATCCAATGTGGAGATTCTTGGTGATTTGATGATGGCACGGATCATTTTTATTACATTTTAATAACTTTTCATTAATGACTTTGCATAACTCAACTCTTCACTACTAACCAGCCCCCATAATCTGCACGGCTTCTGAACACCTTCCTGAATGTACCTGAGCATTTTCCCCCATTTTAATGGCGGCAGCTGCGTCTGGTGTCTGTGCTGCTAGTTGCTCCCACAGAGGTGTCATCACGTTACCCGGTGAAATGCTGCAACAAAAGCCAGACACTCCGATTAGAAAAAGAAAGGCATTATTAGATTAAAGGAAATGAAATACTTGTAGAATCTCTACAGTTTTTATATCACATCAGAATTCTTCTTTTTATTTATCAGAATCACATTTTTTATTTCACTGCGTAATTATAGTTGTTTGGTAACTTAGTCTTCTGGATTTATGAGAACAGAATGTGTAATTTTGAACTGTCTACTGTAGAAAAGCCCAAATAGTGAATCAGAGCTTATCAATGGCTACGAAATTAAGTTTAAAAAAAAAGGGGGGGGGGGGCTGATATAAGAAAGTTGGGCTTTATGGTTTGTGGCAGTTATCACAGACAGCAGTGACTGAAGAGAAGTCCAAATAAGAAATACAGATTATGTTTTTCTGACTTCTGCTCCTATCAACCATCTCACAACCCTTCAGACTGATACTGGGACCATGTAAAGAGGCCAACCCTTAGTTTGGGAACCATTGGATGAGACTAGTTAACTCTATATAAAGCACACAAAGGTAACTGTATTTTAATATACTAGTCACAAGCTGTCCCCTGCGATTCATTAATAGCATAACACATTTTTATATCTTATCCTTGTGATTAAATTGAAATCCAATTAATTTAATCTGGAGATTGAAAATATATCTTCTCCCTAGAAACCTTTTTTTTTGGGGGGGGGGGTGATAATTTTTTGCAGATGCCAGTTTGCCTCACCAGTTGACTCTCACATTGTAGCGACTCTCATCCACTGCCATTGCCTTTGTCATGGAAACGATCGCCCCCTTGTGGAGAAAACATCACATTACAATACTATTCTCTTGGGCAGAGTGCTGAAATTTAGGAAACGAGGAAAGAAGCTCACCTTTGTGGCAACATACGGTGCAGCATCTTTCTGACCAATAGTTCCCACAAGACTGGAAATATTGATGATGTTTCCTTGGCGCTCTCGTAGGTAAGGTAACACATACTGCAGAGAGAGCGAGACTTTCAGGTGGTGCAAAGATCCTCTATACATAATGTTTCGATTACTCCAAGAGCTCAAACAGAAATGAAAAGTGTGAAGGGTTTATGTGTTATTAGTTAGTCAGACTGGCTTTGGCTAAAATCAATCAGTCAATGCAAAAATCCTGGAAACTCAAAAGTGATATTACAGGTGGTCTGTAGACACAAGGAAAGGGTAGATTCCATGTTAGGGGTATTCTTGTGTACTTTTAAGACCACTGAAAACATTTTTTCCTATATTGTTTTCCCGCCTGTCGTTTTAAAATAAAGTTGTTGTTTTTTTTTTTTATTTCATTCATCAGTGTTTAAATGTATCACTTTAATCCTTAAGGACTGTCTTTGTTACCACCGAAGACAGAAATTATTTGCACCCAAAGCTGTGAAAACGTACTTTAGACGCCAAAAAGTAGCTGACGAGGTTCAGATTCAACAAGTCTCTGAATTCCTCTGCTGTGGTGTCGTCAGTGGGTTTATGAGGAGGGTCTGAAGAGGAAGATTTCAAACACATAAACAGACAGTAAGCAACACAGCCTTGTTGTCGTGTCTCCTTGTTAGTAAAAAAAACAACAACACACACACAAAAGACTCACGCCAGCCTGCGTTGTTGACCAGGCAGTCGATGTGACCAAACTGCTCCACTGTGACTGCAATCAGCCTCTGCAGAGACAAGAGGAACCAACAAATGACAAATACACATCCGCAGTGAATGCAGGAGTCACTGAGGTCAGTGAGATCATCATGTGATCATCATGTGATCATGTGACTCTTTCCATTTCAGACCATACACCCACAAAGCTGCACTTCACCTTTATGTCTTCTTCCTTGGAGATGTCACTTTTGACAAACTTGCACGAGCCTGGTCCGGTCTTGTTAAGCTCCGCCTCTAAAGCTTCACCTGCTGCACCTACGAGACACGTCTGATCATGCCGCAAAACACTGCACCCCATTATTTTTCTTTTCATATATGCTGCCAAAAGTGAAATCGTGTAACTGTTTCACAAAGTAGCAGAATAAAAACAGCCTTACTAACTTTCTCTTCCACAAAACGCCACTTTGGCTCCGTTTTCCACTATAAAAGAACAACAACAAAAAAGACGCAAAAATGTTCAGTGCGCCACTCCTCGCTGCATGCGCAAACTGCCAGCATAAATAAAGACATTTTCATACCAAACACTCTGACAATCCCTCTGCCAATCCCTTTGGATCCTCCTGTGACAACAGCCACTTTGTTGTAGTAGCGGAGGGACATTTTGTCTGCGGTTACGATGATAAATGTGACGCAAAGCGGCGCTGCTGTCAAACAGCGGACTAATAACGGTTACTTCTTACTTTGTCTGCTCGGAGTCATCACAGCAGGACTCCTCTGCCGCCAGCAGAAACGATCAGCCGCTGTCAGCATGTTTGTTTGTAAAGTTCAAAGTGCCACAAAATCATGCGGTTTGCTTTGCTGCGTTCAGGAGGACAGGGATAGTAGGAAATCTATACATTCACAAGAAAACTAGCTCTAGAGAGGGTTCTTGAACTTTTATAATAATTTCCTTTTTACTTCAACTGTGTCTGGACATCTGTGCTTGGGTGCCACTAACTTAGCCGCCCTAAGCTGATGTCAGCTTCCTTAGAAACCATCAGTCTGGACATGATTACTTTCGTTCAGTGAAAGGAAGCTCTTCCTACTCCCCGTTATCAAGCACTTGCAGGAATGGGATCGTCTGATTGTTTGAGATCTCTCTCCAATACTGTAGTGTCTTTACCTAACAGTATAATGAACCTGCTTTCCACTAAACTTGCTGATGCTATTATTCTAACGGTTATAAAGCAGATCTCCCATCTTTATAACGTTTTGAATCATTGCAGGAAGCTGATTTACTCTGCAATGCTCAGATGCCATTAAATATCTCAATGCTGCTTCAACTTAAAGATCAAGGAGACCTGGCCTTTTGTTAAAAGTATTCCTTTTTGTATACTTAATATTAAACGTAATTATTTCATTTCTTCATTTTCACGCCTCACTGGTCAACATATTCATGTGAAAGGGTGCTGGGTCGATTGGAGGTAAAAAAAAAAAAAAAAATCAGAGACACTAAACCTTTGAAGTTGGCTCAGGAAGGGCATGTGACTTAAAACATGTGGATAAGGTAGAAGCCGAAATGAACTTTAATCTAATTTCCTCATTTTACATGGCAAAACATTTTGTGTTTAAAAAAAACCCATTTGGAAATCATTAAACTTCCTGATTTTTTCAGGGATTCTTCTTCTTCTTAATAATAATAATAATAATAATAATAATAATAATAATAATAATAATAATAATAATAATAATAATAATAATTTTAAGGAAGAAAGTGCTTTAGTAACTTAAAATGAAGTGAGGCCATAAACTCATCAACTCACAAATTATTTTTAAATTGGGCTTCTTTCTGCAACCTGTGGCGTCAGCCCCCTGCTGGCCATTACAAAGAATACAGTTTAAGGCACACTGCTTCACATTTGCTTCACTTTTCAGACCTGGAAGCTACATCTATGTTTTTTTTATACAGAGCATAGCTTGCATGCTACCATACCACTCACTATGCCAGTAAAGGATTCAGCACATCTCACACAGTTTAATAAAGTGAGCCAAAAATACCAGGATCTCCAAGCGCCTTCAGCTGCAGCTTGCAGTAAACAAGCCAGCAGGTTTTCCCACACATTCAGACCTACAATCCTCTACACCAGCTACTCAACTTCAAAGTATCAAAATTTGATTTGGAGATTTTTAATGGAAAGAGCAAACTTTACAAACCCTCTGTCAAAATAAACACTTAAAAGCTGTAAATTACTTGAAGTATTTGAAGGCAACAGTACATTTCAGAAAAGTCTTCCTGCACACAGACCCAGAGACTCGGAGATGTTTTGGTGTATAATTTAAGATGTCTAAAATAACCACAGAAATATATTATATGTTATATTTAACATAAAGTGAGTAATGGTGTGGGCACATTTCATGACAGATTTATCACTGCTCTGATCCAATTTGTGGATAATTCTGCACAAACCACAGTAACCTGCAAGTTTTAATTTATAGCTAAGCTGTAACAGCAAAAGAGGGAAAAAATAAATACCAACCAAATGTTTGTGGTATGATTCTAGAGTGTAAATCATGTTCATCAGTGCAAACACTGCTCCCTTATTAAATTTTTTATTCTCCTTTTTAAACTTCTTAGTTCAGGTACAGATCAGGCTACAAGTGTATGTAAGAATGCACAGCATGTTTAAGACAGACTGAGGGTTGTAAGAGGTTGACATTTTTGAGCGAGGAGGCTTGTTGGGGTCAGAAAAAGTGGGCGAATAGGCAGCGTGCTCTTGGAAAAGGAGCAAGTCCAAGATTGAATTTCCGCCTAACAGCATTTCCCATGCTGAGAGCGAGAGACAGCGTAAGGGTGCAAGCGCAGACAGTGAGTGACCTACAAACAAGCTTAACAATTTTAACTTTACCCAGGGTGGCAGATTAACACCACAGCAGCCCCTGAAGAAGCTCCCTCTATCTCCTCCCCTCACCTCCTAAATGTGACTCAAGGGAGAATCAGGAGGGGTTGCCTGGATGGTGTGATGATGGGTCGGCCCAGAAGGCACATGGAGGTGAAGGAACAGCAGGAGAGTCATGGTCACTCGCCTGGGGTTTGAAGCATTAGCCTGAAGCATTAGCTGCCAGTAGGGCAGGTGAAAGGAGGAGCTCAACTAAGGTGGGTTTACGCTAACAGCATGTCTTGGAATTTGTGCATGCAGTATGAAATCAATCTAAACAAACACACTGTATAGCATGTTTTAAGAAAAGTGGAGCTGACAGCAGTTTCTCTGATGTCTATGGATTATAGACAGATGAAATCATCTTAAAATCCATTTTGATTTAACCCTTGTATGGTGTTCGGGTCTGTGAGACCCGTGTTCAGTTTTTTTCAAAAGAAAAATTAAACAAT